TATATATATAAAATAAAAATATCTGTGCACATATACTCAAATCATTCCCTGTTCCAAGAACTACAACAATAGCATCTCTACCAGTTACCGCTTTTGCAACTTGCTCTGCATTTAGTGACATCTCCAACGACTGATCCCATTTTATTTTTAAGATTTTCAGGAATTTTGTCTTCATCTCTTATAAAAGCTCTTACGACAAGATATGGGTAATAATTGATATAAAAAATATAATATCACGAAAATAAAATTTAAAAGTTATAATATAATGTCATGCACATATACAGATGTCATATATTATATATATGATAACAATATATTAGTACAATTAAGATAAAACATTAAACAAGCTAACACATTAATAAATAAGTAAAATAAACATTTTTTTTCGCAATACGATTTTATCTTCTCCTTATCACATCAAAACGCTAAACTCAAATAAGTCTGTGGATAAAATCTTATGCATTAAAAAAAAAAAAAGATGATGCTTATCGTCACATCTTGGATAAGCGAACGATAAATAATATCTATTACGTAAGAAAGAGCAACACGTCAACGTGTTGAATGTTTTATCATTGCTATCGGTGCAATTAATCCGTTCGCCGGTGACGCCGGCGTACATATCGCCCTCCCCCAAGATGTATGCAAAAATGATTCGTCATTTTCTGTCTAGCGAGATAGATATAATCGCGCGTGCGGTTACGTGATAACGCATTATCAATCAGCGAGATGAAACGAATCGTGATATTTGGTGCTACCGGAAACACCGGCCTATGCTCTCTGAGATCGGCCGTAGAAAATGGTAAATTTTCCGGCCCACTATATGTGTGTATGTGTGATCGCGGAATTTACATTATTCATTCTCTCCGACTCTTGATAATAATATAGTGCGTCGTTGATAACGTTATTCTATTTGTTACGGATGTGATAATTGCATGCTATTAGTGTTGTGCCAAAGCTTCTCTTTGAATAATTTGAGAGTGATGATTCATGTAAGAGAGAGATATCATTTTCTTTTTTCCAAATTGAAATGCTTAAAGTGCACCTATATAAAATAATGCAATGATATAACTAATATAAAATCGTGTAGACACGAGACACTGAATAAATTATTTTGAAGTGATGTAATTAATATATATTTTTTTTCTCACTTATAATAAATATATATAAATAATTGTATACGAGGTTTATATATAGCACTAATTGTCTGCATATATGCATGATATCAGTTTTTAAATTTTATTTTTATGATATTATATATATGCATTTTTTATATCAATTATTATCCAGATCTGGATGTAAGAGCTTTTGTAAGGAATGAAGCCAAAGTTCCTGAAAATCTTAAAAGTAAAATTGAATCCGTCATTGGAGATGTCACTAATGCAGAGCAAGTTGCAAAAGCGGTAGCTGATAGAGATGCTGTTGTTGTAGTTCTTGGAACAAGGAATGACTTGAGTATGTACACAGATATTTTTGTTTTATACATATATAGAGCTCTTCTTACTGTTATAATATGAAGTAATATGTTATATCTATTTTATCTTACTTTTAGGTCCTACTACTATATTATCCCAAGGCTTAAAGAATATAATAGACGCCATGAAAACACACAATGTTGAACTAATCTCTGTATGTCTATCTGGTAAAGTATAATTATAAAAAAATAAAATCCTAAGAATGACAAAATAAAAAATATCTACTATAATAGAAAATAAAATATATACATATATTGTTTTATACTGAATTGCTTTAAAATATTTTCTTGACATTTCTAGCACATTAGGATTTTCTGTATTTAATTATTTAATACTTTATACAATACTTGGTTTTCTACAAATGTCTATTGCTTTCAGCATTTTTATTCTACAAACCTGAAGCAGTGCCTGCTATATTTAAGGACTTGAATGCAGATCATCAACGCATGTTTGACATGATCAAGGAAAGTGGATTAAAGTGGGTAGCAATATTGCCGCCACACATAGCAGGTATGTGTAAGAACAATGAGGAAGTCAGTCCTCCCGATATTCTCAAGAAATCTCACCAATTTTATACGTTTCAGATACACCAAAATCAAAGTATACTGTCACATTCGATTCTTCGCCTGGACGCGCAATCTCCAAACACGATTTGGGTGCGTTTCTCGTTGAGTGTCTTATGAAACCAGAGTATTACCAAAAAGTCTGTGGCATCGCCAACACTTCATGATGCGAGAAGAAATGCGGGAATACGTAAATAAAAGAAATGCATGCAGTTTGTTTTTCTAGTGGAAAAATATATTAATTATATATATGTATATATATATGTATATGTAAATATATTAATTATATATATTTTTATGTATAAATTGTGTTATCACGTTTGATAAGTTTAATATTTATACAAATTGCATAAGCTGGATGGAAAAAAGCGTATTTGTGTTGTTCTGTCGCAGGAAGACAACAGATAAGGAAAGCGTGATATTTGAAATAAATATAGAAGCGCAGTCTGACAAAATAAATTGTACTAAAAAATAGAGAATAAATCTATCTATCTACTAATCGTTATAAATTACAGTTATAAAAATAGCTGAAAGAGAAAATTCTGTGACACTCTTTATAGATGTGTTATAAGAACGAAATTTAAAGTATATCCAGTGTTTCGTTCATGTTGCTCGGCTAAATTGAAAAGTCAAATGCATTTTTATTTGCCTTATGATTATCCAACATGATTTGCCTAATCAATGTGCACTAATGAGAATGATCTCCTGGACAAAACACTGCTCAAGTTCTCTACTGAAATACGATATGTTAAATTATCTATTCTTTTTTATAATTTATCCTTTTTCGTCTTATCCTACTCGATTCCGTTCTAATATCTCATACTTATTTTTAATCATCTAATTTCAATTGACATGAACTCGAACGTTTAGCAAGAACAAGAAAACGTGCCGAGATATTTTGACATAACGCTAGTATCCTAATTTCTTTACCATGTGCGTTTTTTGGGATAGCATTCGCGTGTCGAAAAATTTCGACAGTTGGAACGCCGGCATCGGGGGCGGTGGCGGCGGTGGTGGCTGTCCGGCGGACTGATCGGCGTTCCTCTCCTTGAATTTCGTTTTGCCGAGAGGCGGACTGGCGGTTATGATGTCGTTAATGCCATACGCTTTGAATGGATCGCACAACTTGTATCCGTTCTTATAGTAAAACACTTCCTGACCATCTGTCTTTAGATATATATTTTTCAGACCCTTTCTCGCGACGTATTCTTCCACGCCACGCAATAATCTAGACCCTAATCCTTGAGATCTATATCGATAGTCGATTACAACTGAAATATCATAAATATATGTAGATTCTTTATTATAAAATGTTATATATCGGATTTATTTTGATTTATATTCAATGCATATATGGTTTGAATTAATTAATTTCAATGCTACATACATGCATTATACCTGTCTTTGCTTACCAGATTCTATGAAGCAGCTAACTTTTGATCTACCAACCAGAGATATTTTGCAATGTCCAAGAACCTTGTCCTTATCATTAATCAGAATCAGACACGTGGGAAAATCGTCGCAAGACACATTCAGAGATTTCATTCTGCAATATAACAATACAGAAGTTGTGAGTTTGTCGATACATCCTCCCTATTTCTTTCTGAACCGTCTTTAAGAACTAAGGGGAACATAACACACCGTGCAGTTTCGCTTCGAGGCCATTCAGAATTAACTAACTTACAACAATTTTTGATCAAATCAGGCCGATGGTGGAGAGGTATCACTACGTACTTAGCATTGCTTTCCATCATATCTTGCCTGCAATCAAAATTGAATTATTTTGAAATTACTTCATAGTCAAATATAAGTCTCATCTCTAAACACATATTTTAAATATCTGTTTCTAAACACATATTTAAATTTCTGTCTCTAAACACATATTTTAAAAATCACTTCTCTAATAAAAAAGTGTTTCTTATGCAAGTAACATAAAAAAAATTTATTCCAGATCTTCTATAGTTTATTAAATTATTATTGAAAATAAAATCTTCAAAAATATTCAGATCTCATCTTTTTTAATTAAATTTACTGCTATATGTAAAATACATAAATTTTGTATAAACAATAATTGTATGTATGCATATTTTCTATAAATATATATTTTATATAATATATCTATAGGAAATAGATATATTTTATATAATCCCTTTGCATTAAATTTTATTTAACATTTATTTAATAGATATATATCTATTTATCTTACACGCTATATATTCTATAAATAAAAATAGCTACGTACAATATAGCTACCAATGTCTATGTATAAATACAAGCTAAGTTATATCTATAAACTCATAAACCTTAATCAATGTATATACCTATCTCTGATATATGTGTTTCACCCTTTTCAAATTTTTTCTATAAGGTATTCAAATTTCATTTGATACATACATCATCTATATATATTTTCCTATCATATACTATAAATATATTCTATATACAGATATAGCTATGGGCACATATGTATACTGTATATACAAGTACAGCTGACAGTATTTTCTGCGGATTGCCGCAGTGGAAGTCTTATTAATCTATTGCGACACATCCTCGCAATGTCTGTCGCGCACGCTCAGGCTCAGGTGCGACTGATATGACAAGCGACCGCGAATCGGAGTACAAACAGTCGCGAGGGAAGGAGGGCTGCGAAGAGGGTGTCCTTACCGCGTAGTTTTTCGACGAGGTGGAGAACTCGTTTGCGCGGACTCGAATGGGAATGGCATCCCGGTGGCGACGGTGTCATCGTTTTCCGCTCCGAAACGATATTTCGGTCTGATTTTATCCCCACCGCGTTATGCCGAATAACCATTCCCATGTGCGTCCCTCTCATGCGCATATCCGTGTCCCACCTGATCCCCGGTTCTCTCTTTGATCTTCTCAGATTTCTCGAGATCTTGCATTGTTACATATATTTCTTTATTAACTAGCGAAGATCTGCTGTCTCTTAAAAATATTGACATACTTTGATATATATCTGGTTATATTGATGCAGACCTGCTTGGTTTCTGTCATCAGTTTGCTAAGAATTGAAAAATAATGAAGATTTGCAAGCATTAAAAATTCTTCTATTTTAAATATTTTTTCAACCATATTATTATATCACGTTTTCTATTTATAACATATGTAGGACATGATTTATTCAATTATATAAAAGAAAAAGTTTTAAGTGCGCTTGTAGTTTTTTTTTTTTTTTTGAAAAATATGGAAAAAAGATTTAAGATTCTTATGAATAACAATTTAAAGAAATTATGAATAAATTATTTCGTAAACAGATAAAATAAAATAATCTAATGAATATTTTATAGCGTAAGCGTATTATCAAAATAATATACTAATTGACATTCCAGAATAGAGAGAAAACAAAAAGGTCATCAAAAGAATTCTCAAGAAAGAAATTCCACACCCGTGTCTAGGAAAGACTCAATGGGACACAGATATCTGCATCTGTCCGTGACCGATTCTATTAACGTCTGCTTCGACCCCGAGGCAACGGGAACGACCCTTTTTTCGGGGCATCCTATTTCTCCTCGTAACCTCCATTCTATATACGGATCCGCAAGTGGCCTGCATTCTCGCGCACGCGACATCGACGACGTCATCATCGCCTCGACAACAAACGCTTGCTGTCAGCAGGCGGGGTAGTTGACATCACGTGATCTTGGGCACATCCAATAGAAAAACGTCTTCTTTAGGAACAAAATATCACCAACTAGGGAATATTCGAAAACGAGCTCTTCTATTGGATGTCGCGCGATCTGAATAATCGCGGCACGAAATTCCATATGAAGTACATCTACTATATTACGTGTTTAATTCATGCTTCATTCACATGCAGAAACAATCAGTTGGCCATCCGTGGATGCGACAGTGTGGGAGTAGATGTGTCAATTGTGTATGTCTTATTTTTTGTTATTTGCCTCTTGAGCACTTTTGAGAGGCCAGAAAGATTGTATAATTTTTGTACGGTTTAATTTAAACGAATCGATATATATATCTAATTTAAGTAAATACATAATTACAGATTAAAGTATGAAGAGCGCTATCCAAGAGACCACTTGTAAATCGGAAAATGCGGCGAACGCGGAAGTAAACGAAAAGAAAAATAATGCAACGTATGTGAAACTATAATTTTTAATTGAAATTATCGCAGTTATAATCCTACTCTCGACGAATATCCTAAGTAGATTATATCCTGTTTCTGTTCCTCTTAAAAAATATTGTTCTTCAATATAATAGTAATTAATTAATTAATATTATTTAGAGAACATAAAGATCAATTTTTATTCCTTAATAAATTTGATTAATTTGAAACATGAAAAGAGTAAATAATTATAATATAATTGCAATTTGCTTTCATACTTGCAGGGATTGGTGGCTCATGTTTGGAGGCATAACTGTACTTACTTTAATCACCAGATTCTATAAAGTAACGGAACCTGAACATGTGTGGTAAGATGAATTAAGCATTCTGTTAATTTTACTTATAATTCATTGATTTAAGACTATTTATAAATATCTGGTTTTCAGTTGGGATGAAACACATTTCGGTAAAATGGGCAGTTGGTATATAAATAGGACATTCTTCTTTGATGTACATCCACCTTTGGGAAAGGTACATAATTTTTTCTTAGAAAAAAAAAAATCTCTTAGCTGTTATTAAAATAGTCAAATTAAATGTCATCACATTAAAATATTTAAAATATACAAAAAGATATACTTGATTTTAGATGCTCATTGCTCTGTCTGGGTATATGACAGGCTATGATGGGAAATTTGCGTTTGAAAAACCAGGAGATAAATTTGAGAATGTCAATTACATCGGTATGAGAATAGTAAGTTGATTAAATTCAATTATAAAATAAAAAGCAAAATATACCAAAAGGTACAAGATTTATATTTGAGGTTTGATTTGGGGTATTCAAATTATAATAATTTATCTGCAAACATTTTTTAGTTCTGCACAATTCTGGGTGCATCCACTGTCCCTTTAGCTTATCTCATTGTATGGGATCTTACCAAATCGATTCGTGCCTCTGCCCTTTCTGCTATTTTCATTCTGTTTGGTAAGAGTTATAACATTCTTATAAAATTCAAATTTACAATTCCAGAATCAAATAACGATTAATTGTTTGCGTTTCAGATGTAGGACTGCTGACGTTAAATCAATATATACTCTTAGATCCGATACTATTGTGTTTTATGATGTGCGCAACATGGGGCATGGCGCGTGTGGCATCGCTCCGAGATCGGCCGTTCACGCGATCCTGGTGGTTTTGGTTATCGTTTACCGGAGCCTCGCTCGCGTGCACGATCAGCGTGAAATTCGTTGGGCTATTTGTCGTACTGCTCGTGGGTCTTTACACCGCGTACGAGCTCTGGCGAGAATTGGGAGATTTGTCCAAGTCTATCGTAAGTAATTCTCGAGAATTATTTCAATTTTAAGGCTTTTAATGTCGTAAATAACGCAAGCTTCACGTTCTTGCTTTACTGAATTGATCTCAATATCAATGTTCAACATTACATGTTACATGCTATTCATTTAATAATTAGTAAGACTTCAAATAAATAGTGAAGTTTCCAAAGAACGATTTTGATTTGCTTTTTGCAGTCTTATGTGGGGAAACATTTATTAGCACGATGCTTTTGTCTCATCCTATTACCGGTTTTACTTTACATGCTATTTTTTTATATCCATCTTTCCGTTTTGAATAAAAGGTAAGGAAAACTATTGTGCGTCGACATATATACAGGATACCCCCTCATCATCATCTATTCCTACTAAAATAGAATACCTTCGATATTAATATTTCCTTATCCTTGAGAATACCTTGTGTGTTATATATGCAAATATATGCAAATTAGTATCATACACGTGTGTAAACAGCTAATATTTGATTTACACAATTTAGACATTTATATTTTATCTAGCGGAAGTGGTGACGGGTTCTACAGTTCCGAATTTCAGTCGTTATTACGAGGGAATTCTTTATATAACGCGACGATGCCGCGGCAATTAGCGTATGGTGCCACCATCACATTAAAAAACCATCGCACAGGCGGCGGTTACTTGCACTCTGATTGAATATTATTATTATTTTTTTTTTTATAATAAAAAGTATGATATTACCGAGATAATTATTACTTTGATTAAATTTAATTGCAGTTTCTATCTGTTTTCGCCGTTGGCTTATGGAATGGACGGACCTTCCGCGATGGACCCGGAGAGCTTGATGCATTCTTTGCGATGGATGGAGTCTTGGGAATTTTAAAGTCTGATTTAACCGACGTAATGCAAAGTATTTTATATGTAGTTAAATATTTTATACATATGAGAACGACTGTGAGATGCTGGGAAAAATGTTCATATTATTTATACATATAATTTAATTTTTACGAGCTATTTAGCGATTTATATCATGGTTTATATTTTTTACAAGTTTATTCATACAATATTGAAATGATCTTCGATATTAATATTTCCTTATCCTTGAGAATACCTTGTGTGTTATATATGCAAATATATGCAAATTAGTATCATACACGTGTGTAAACAGCTAATATTTGATTTACACAATTTAGACATTTATATTTTATCTAGCGGAAGTGGTGACGGGTTCTACAGTTCCGAATTTCAGTCGTTATTACGAGGGAATTCTTTATATAACGCGACGATGCCGCGGCAATTAGCGTATGGTGCCACCATCACATTAAAAAACCATCGCACAGGCGGCGGTTACTTGCACTCTCACTGGCATTTGTATCCCGAGGGAGTCGGCGTCAGGCAGCAACAGGTTCTTGGATATAATTGAATACTATATATAATACATATAAAAGGGAAAAATGCGGAGAGTTTGATCCCAGATAGAGTGATGGATTTACATCATTTGTCAAAATATACGATGCATATATTATTTTAACCAAGAGAAACATAAGGATAGACAAAATCAGATAATGAAATAAGTAGGCGACCTTAAGTGAGATAAAGTGTCCTACAGTAGCGCTAACTAACGTATCTGATTGCGTTAGATCACAACCTATTCCCACAAGGACGACAATAATCTATGGTTGGTGAAGAAATTCGACACGGACGCGATACCGTCCGAGCCGGAGTTGGTCAAACATGGCGATCTCGTTCGCTTGGAGCATGTTATTACGAGGCGGAATTTACACTCGCATAAGGAGATCGCACCGATATCGAAGAAGCACTACCAAGTCACAGGATATGGAGAGGTAAGGTGACCAATATAATTTCAATGTAATTGCTCGATTTGTTCGTCAACCGCCTTTTTCTTTTTCGTCTTTCAGAACGGTACAGGCGATGCTAACGATATCTGGAAAGTATTGGTAATGAATGGACAAAATGGTGATGTGGTGGAAACCGTGACGAGTAAATTGAAATTCGTACATTATCTTCATCATTGCGTGTTAACGTGTAGCGGTAAAACGTTGCCGAAATGGTTAGTAGAGATAGAAATTACGTTGAATCTTTTCATAGCTCATCTATCTATAACTTTTTATTATCGTGACGACGAATTTTTAACTAATGTAGGGGATACAGCCAACAAGAAGTTTCCTGCAACCCCAATATGAGAGACAAGAACGCGTTATGGAACATCGAGGACAATCAATATGCCAAATGTAAGCGAGCGATGTAAGCTACGATAGAATCTACTACTCAGGCGACGTATAATGTTGTTAATTTCTTGTTAGTACCAAACGTCAGCTTCCGGGTATACGCGCCGGGATTCCTTAACAGATTCCTGGAATCGCATGCCGTAATGCTGCAAGGAAATTCGGATTTGAAAGTGAAAGAGGGGGAGGTGTCCTCGCGACCTTGGCAGTGGCCTATAAATTACAGAGTAAATTATTGATTTATGAGCTATCGCACGCGCCTCAACTCTTCGCGGCGAATCCTGAAGAAATCCTTATTTTTAATCTGTAGGGGCAATTCTTCTCCGGGAACAATCAAAGGATATATCTGCTCGGCAATCCCGTCATTTGGTGGGGAAACATAATCTTTCTCGCGATATTCGTGATTCTTTACGTTCACGCGTCTGTGCGCGAACAACGGGGCTGCGTCGACGATGCCGTCATTCTCGAGCAGCGCGGCAAGATTATGCATGCCGGCAAGTGGCTTTTCCTCGGATGGACCCTGCATTACGCACCGTTCTGGGCGATGACCAGAGTGCTATATTTCCATCATTACTTCCCGGCGCTGCTGTACAGTTCCATGCTGACCGGGATTATATTGAATCACATTATCGAATGCCTCCTATTGTTGCTTCCCGGTAAAGTGGGAAATACGATTTACCATGTCACGCTGGGAATTGTAATCTCCGGCACTGTATACAGGTAAAAGCTCACTTTTTATTCTAATTATAATCTTTTTGTAAAATTTTAACGATTATGAAAAATTAAAATTCTTTGATTGAATATTATTATTTTTTTTTTTTTTATAATAAAAAGTATGATATTACCGAGATAATTATTACTTTGATTAAATTTAATTGCAGTTTCTATCTGTTTTCGCCGTTGGCTTATGGAATGGACGGACCTTCCGCGATGGACCCGGAGAGCTTGATGCATTCTTTGCGATGGATGGAGTCTTGGGAATTTTAAAGTCTGATTTAACCGACGTAATGCAAAGTATTTTATATGTAGTTAAATATTTTATACATATGAGAACGACTGTGAGATGCTGGGAAAAATGTTCATATTATTTATACATATAATTTAATTTTTACGAGCTATTTAGCGATTTATATCATGGTTTATATTTTTTACAAGTTTATTCATACAATATTGAAATGATTTACTAGTGAATTGAGTCGTTGTTGATCCGTTTTAGAACCGTGCGATTACTTTATCAAAAGCTAACTTTCCTCCGCAACTTCTTCCAAGAAAACCTCTTTGCAGAAAAAAACTACTATATTCTCCATATTTCTCGATATTGCGATTGGATACTCGTGATAACGTCGTCTTACGAATCACGTTCTCTAGCGATCTCTAGCTGATAACATCTTCCCACATCGTTCATTTAATCGTGGCGATAGTACGACTACATATATAGAACGCATACATACATCGGCGCACTTATCTCGGGATAAGCTTCACTACACTTAATCCCGTCCATTTAGTTCGCCGTAAAGCCACTGATGCGGCAGATTCTATTATACGCACAGTTCTGTGAAACTCTGTTTTAACATAGCGCGATTATCGTAATTCGCCAAAATTTATCCGGATGTTAATTATTAAATCGATCAATCGCGGACGCGTGGATCGATAGAGAACGGGCAATTCTCGTTTCCCGATCGTTAAGATGCGTGACCATGTACGGATCTGGAAAGCGTACGCGCGCGTGGGATCTTATCGAATGACGGAAATGCGGAGGAGGCGATACGTCATTTCGTAAGCTTTAAAAAAAAAAACTCGATAAAAAACCAATTATTAAAAAAAAAAGAGAGAACTTCGTATTAAAAAGCGTTTAATTGAGGAAACACTCGGATAAGGGGAGAGTTTCGAATCTGACAGCTCCATGTGTGCAGAAAGTATTTCTGCCTTCATATAGTTCTTGTTGTAAAGTCTTACAAAACGCTTGAAGGCGCGTGTGCTAGAAAGCCCCGGGTTCGAAAGCTTTGCGCTTGAAGGTCGACCGCGGCTTATCGTAGAGCCGCGCGCGCGTATTTCGTTCCCAGTGACACATACATATATACATATATATACAATGCGAGGGACGCACGCGTATCGCCCCTCGCGGTATCGCTGCCGATGACGACAAACGACATCGAGGGACGGGGCGAGACGCGCTCTCGGATATTCGGCCGCGCTTCCTCGCGCCGGCGGCCCGTCGCGAGACAGTCGTCCGGACGCGGTCCCTGTACAACGTCGCGGCGGTCCAGCGGATGCCGCAGTGCGTCGTCATCGGCGGCCGCTCGTGTCCGACATATTGCGGGCTCGCGAAAATAGGTAGGGGATCTTGCCTCGCGAAATATCTCGTCCACGGGGTGATGTATACGATTTTTATTTTTATTTCTATTATATATAGATTAAGAGGATGCGGAGCGATTGTTATTGGTGTACGCACTTGTTGCTGTGATCACGTCGCGCGATGTATCAATGGTCGTTACCGTCTCGCGGATGGTTTTCACCGTCGGACGATATTTTCCTGGACCTCGTGAGCGTCGCGACGACGATTGCGCGCGTCGACGCGTCGACGCGCTGAGCGTCTCGTAACACGAGGTGAGAGCGAGTCAAAAGCGCGATTTTTCTCCGGTCGTCGCGTATTTATTTGCGCGCGTGATAGCTCTCTGCGGATAGTCTGATGTAACGAGGAAAGAAAAATTGGTGGGATTTCGCAAGAAAAGAAGCAGCAATCGATGTGTGCAACAAATAGAGTAGATAAGATGTTTTTCGAGTAGATCGCCGAATTAATATTAATGCGCGATTTCGAAACATATATATCAGCGATCTTAGTGATAAAATTGAGGTTCCTACTATGATTACCATATCTCGATTTTGATTTGCGAATGAGAATTTTGTTTTTCAAATAATTTTTATCGCTTCGTGGAAAAAGGTGAGTTTGGTATATATATATATAGATTTTAATACAAAGCGTGTTATTCCGATCTCGAGATTCAATCTCATTTGATTCTTGATAAAAAATATGATAAGAAATATCGCGCGAATAATCAATCAACATTATAGATTGGTTATATAAAATTGACACTTGTATATGCATACAAAAAAAAAAAAAAAAAAAAAAAAAAAAATTTAAAAAACCGGGGGAATGACGCGTTGACATCTAGATTGATAAAATTGACACTTGTATATGCATACAAAAAAAAAAAAAAAAATAATTAATAATTGAAAAACGCGGTGAACTTGGGTTAGGTACCAATTTTGGTAGACGATAAATCATCTTGATCGATATATCATCTTGATCGATATATCATTTTGATCGATATATCATTTTGATCGATTGTTATATTTAAATCATTTTTATTACAAAAATTGTGCACATGCTAAAAGTTAAAGAATAACATTTTGAGTATTACAGATTAAATTTCAGAATTAAATTTCTTCAATTTCATTCAACTTATTATTCTCCTTATTATTACTCGCATGATTTTTTGTAATAACTAATTGAACGTCAATTGATCTTGCACGTTGGCGTCATCAAAGACGTCACCTTCTCGAAGATACTGGATATATATGATTCGATTTTCCGTGATGTAACGACGGTATCGTGGTCTACTTTACGTTACTGTATAATTATAGATCACTTATTGCTGGCCGCATGAACGATTCGCCTCGAAACAGCGAGATAAGCCATATTTTATCGGTATCCGATCGCGGTATAATACCTATATCGGAAATCAATTGTCGATGTTTTATTTAATAGCTTCGCCCGAAGCGGGACAGCTCGGATTAATTAATCCGTGATACGGATTGTCGGCTGTCGTTCGTGGATCCCTAACCGATCTCATTGCATGTAGCTTCGTCGACCCGCATTCACGACGTGTCCCCTTATCATGCACGATATCTTGGACGGAAAAGTTTTGCTCTTTTATTCATGCGGTTTCCGCGCGTTTTCATCACTAGGATTCAAGCCAAGTTTTTTTTTTGTTTAATATAATATAACGACTCTTGATAATATTTATTTCATATCAAAGAACCCGTTAATTTTTTACTGGAGTGATAATTTCTCAATTTTTCATCTCGAAAGAATAATTTATTTCTCGTACAGCAAGAATAATCAACTTTTATACTGCTTATAATGAACAACTCGTTCCAATTACGTAAAGATTAGAGAACAATAAAAAGTCTTTGTTCTCCGTCGCTTTCCATCTCTGAAAATTCCATCGGGAGATTTTTTGCCACGGAATTCAAATTCAATTTACAGTTCTTTATAATTTCTGTGACTTTAATTCTCCGTTAAATAACTGGCAGTAATCAAGTCGCGAATTATTGAATTTTTTTTTTTCCCGCGTTCAGAGGAAAAGATTCATTATGCGAGATTTCATCGCGAGTGCAAAACAACCTCGAGGAACGAGACGACTGAAAGAAATCGTGACATATTCACGGCATTTAACGTCGTTCACACTTCTTCGACGAGTAAGCGCGCTTATTGCTTCTTGCGCTGTCCGCAGGAAGTGTGAATTAACGATGGAATCTGACCTACTTGACCGTGCATATCTCGTACAAATCTGCTTCTCTCTCTCTCTCCTTTAATCTCTTAAATGAGTTCTATAAAAGTTGTAGCAAGAGAGAGAACGCAAGAGGGAAGGCAGTCCACTTTAGCGGCGACTGTCCGGGCACGAAGATATAACGGAGTCGGAGTCGGAGTGGCCGAATGATGTTAAGTCTCGTGAATATTGCACATCCCTCCTCAGTCATCTCGTTGAGGAATACCGAAAGTATTCCTCGAGCTTGCCGAGTGTATGCGCGTGAAGAGAGGTAGACACGTAAGAAAATATTTTCTAGCTGTAGTTATTGATTGAATGCTCGATATATAAAAAGTGACGGAAATAGAAATGTCACACCGACATCGGCTACTCAAGTGCTAGAATGTTGAAATAGATAAGCAGGCATTTATTCGTTTCGAGACTTGTCGGTGTCTCCAGCGATAAATTTACGAAGCGAAACGACTATAAAAAGAATGAAAATAATGAAATAAAGATTGAGCGAGAAATTCATTAATTCGTATAATTAATTCACGATACTCTCTTCTTCAACCTATTTTTGTTGTTTATCGAGATTGTGGAATCCTTATATAAAGTATCAATTATGAAGTCGATGCAGATAATAATTAATAATTGATAACTTATATTTAATCTGTGCACGAAGCAAATTCGATCCGCATCCTTGTACGAAGTTTAAACGCAAATTGGATCAACTCATGTTATTACTTGAAATATATCTTTTTACGCAATTTTGGAGTAAAATTAATTATAATAAAAGTAATATAAAGTAATGTAAAAGAGATTAAATAAAATCTTTCAAAAAACACGTCGAAGATATTCTTTTTAAAGTCGAATAAGAAAGAATGTTTTAGACGCTAATATTCAGGTGGACCGAAATAATTAATTTATCGATTTTTGCGCAGCGCATTTTGCATTTAGTTCTATTACGAGGCTGAGCGTGCTTCTTCTTCCTCGCAAAATTTTTTCGAACCAGACGGACATCCTTATGTAGCAAGACGTCGGAATATGCTTGAAAGCGCGTTAGCCGTGCTGTTGGCATGGACACTTGCGACCCAGCAAGGACTATGCGGCAAATTGGAGAAGGTCGCCCAGCAACCGAACAATGTCCTGGTGGATTATTACGCCTACCGTCACATCTCGATTATCCACTTCAAAGTGCCCGAACTCTCTGTCGCAGTCGCCTTCAAGTACGTATCGGATCCAAAAGGAAGATTGATCAAATTATTCGGGATTTTGCATCTGTAAAATGCACCCAGTCAAAGAAAATCAATAGCGAGATTTTATATTAATTTGAATTTGGCTAATTTCTTGCATGATTATTACTTATTTTCACTATTTTTCTCTGATCTCTGGGAAAAGCGACCTTAAAAATTTAGATCTCAATTCTTATTCTTACTCTATGTATTGATCTGGATGCATCTGTTTTTTTTTGACTGAATATTTTTATTAATATTATATTGAAAATTTAGTGAAATATATATAGTGAAAATTTAAAGCGATGAATTTATGTTCTTTCGAAACTTTTCGAGGCTAAAATTTTCTATTGTTATTTTATTCTACTTACGTGTTTTTTTCTTCAAATTCGTCCGAGTCTTCATTCGAAAATGCATTGTCGCGTTTCAGATTCACGGCGAAAGAAGAGAAGACTGGCGGGATAGGTAGATGCTTGCCACGCAATGTCTCGTTGTACCTAAAGTCCGGCAGTTTGCCATTCGTCCGTCCTGATGGATCTAAAGTGGCCGCGAAGTTAATGGAGATGAAGAAACGACGGCGACATTACGGTCGAGAGATGCAGAGCAACGGCGATCAATATGTGATTAAGATAGAGGCCCCGCCGGCGGGCGATTGGTACGCGATCGCCTTCCGATCCTGGACCGATCCCGACACGGGGAAGATCAGGCAGCAAGGTAAAAGATACAGCTTATTACGACTCTTTCAATGAATAGAGAGTATATCATATTATTTGCGTTTTTCTATTTCTCGTAACACTAAAAGAGTTCGGAAGCTCTTTTATATAACTCTAGATATATATGTATAAAAATAAAAGTATTTCTAAAATAGAAGGAATATCTCTTCGGAAATATTTTCTTCAATGACATCTAAAAATAAAAGTAGCTATTTGTAAAATTAGAGCCAAATCGCCGATCTCCGTTGTGTTCTTCTACAAGATTAATAGAAAACTTTTGCAGGTCTTACCGCGTCCTGTGAGACTGTATTGGATGCCGAGATGTTCATCGAGACACCAGCGACGTTGTCGCTGGTGGATCCCGAGGTTGAGCATGAAGTGCAATTGGACGAAGCATCCGACACAACGATAGTGCAGTATCTTGTATCGGACGTCGGTCTGGCGGAAGTGAATCTAGTTTTGGAATCGTCCTGCGGCGAAGACTGCGTGATCGCTGTTTACGTCACGGCGGAGGACAACCTCGCTGACGGTTTGCTCAATTCCACGGCGATTGTGTTGCCTTTCAAGCCCTACGTCAGCGGCTTCCACTACGTGACCCTACGTCTACTGACTGGAAACGCGTCGAACGTGACGATGCGATTGGATCATCGAACTAACGAGGACGATCATCAGGTGACCTCGGTAATGCTGTTGAGGAAGTCCTTCCCGGAATTCTTCCTCTTTGATTACGAACACCTGCGCGGTAACGACACGAAACCCCAGCCGTTCAACGTGACCGTCAACGCTCTCTCCGTCCTTAGCTTCGAGATCGGCCGAGTGTACGATGTTGGTGGTACGGTGACTATGGGCTTCAAGCTGATCAACGTGGAGGAAAAGTACAAGAAGAGCATTGTCCTCGTGGCTTGCGTTTCTTTAGGTTAATATGTCTTTAAAATTCACTTTTGATCGATTAATTTTTGTTTAAAATCAAACGGGTCTTAGATTAATTAATTTTTCCCAGGTTATTACTCCAACATTACCTCAGGCGGTGCCTGCGTCCGCGCGCATACCATCACGACGGCGGACGTATACGCGAACGCGACCGAGCCGGCTTACGTGCACATTCCGTTTCCCGAGACGGGAATCTGGTACGTCAGTTTGCGCGTCTATTGTCCCGAGGAGGAGACGACGACGATGACGACGACAACGATGACGACGACGACGATAACGACGACAACGACGAGTAACAGCAGTAGCAGCAGTCACCGCGGCACCAGCAGTGCTTGCTCTTGCGCCCGCAGCTGTTTGCGGGGTGACATCGTGTGCGATAGGTGCGACTGCTTGCCTCGCTGCACCGTCGCCCAGGTGGAGAGCATCGTGTCGTCGTCGCCGTGCATCGAGGGCCGCTGCGGCGTGCGCGGCAAGTGTATGCACTACATGAGCGGCGGTTTTGTCTTCTCGGCATGTTACTGCACCGGCGGTTATCGCGGCTTTGACTGCGCGGACGCGACCTACGTTCTCAGCACCGGCGGCATACTCCTGCAATTGCTTGCCCTGACCTTTAGCAACCTCGCCTTCCTCGGCTCGATCTACATAGCGATACGCCGCGAGTACTTCACTGAGGCGATCGCTTACGCCGCGGTCATGTTCTTCTCGACGTTCTACCATGCCTGCGAGGCCGGCGAAGATGTCTATGGCGTGTGCATCATGCGGCTGAGCGTGCTGCAGTTTTGCGACTTTTTCAATGCGCTGCTCGCCATTTGGGTGACCCTGGTGGCGATGGCGTCTTTCGGGCCGCGGTTGACCGCGTTCTGTCAAGTGGCCGGTGCAATCGTGCTCGCCATGGGCGCTGAGATGGATCGCACGGCGCTCTGGGTATTTTTGCTGCCGGCCGTCACTGGTACTGCCTTGATCGGCCTGTCCTGGGGACTCAGATGCAAGAGAAAGCGAACTGTCAAATATCCCTCGCGTCCGTACAGGTAAGGAAGAGAAAAATAAAGAAAGGAATAGAAAAGAAAAAAAGATCAATCTGTCTTTAAAATCAAATTCACTAATTGATACATAAACAGAGTGATAAAATTAAAATTAAATCATCAAACTAGATACGTTCCGATGAGTTAGGTATATATTTGGCTGTCTTTTTTACTGCTTTTGATATCCTTATTGCTTCACAGATTGTTGATTATTGACGGGATTTTTCCTCTGTTTAGAACCATCTGCTTCCCAGCCGGATTTCTTCTCGTCTCTCTGGGTCTCGTGTGTTACGCCTTTCTTCAAACACGTAAGAATTATTATCTTGTTCACAGTTTATGGCACGTGTGCGTGGCAATAGCAGTTATTCTACTTTTGCCAAAGCGCCAATATATGAAGTGATAGTCCAAAAACTGTGTATACGTCCAGGGTAAATTTGAGGAGACCGGGAATATTATCAGAAAAACGCGTGATAGTAAATAACCAAAGAGATATCAGGGAAATTATTAAGATATAAACAAATAGATGTCATCCGATGATTCGACAGCTTTTATATAAAATAAATCAAGTGTCGAATTTTTATTTTGAAAGACGAACATATTTTGGAAATTTATGTTAGTTTGTAGCATCAATTTTCATTAAAACTTTTATATTAAAATCTTTATTTTAATATTTAATTTTTAGATAAATTAAGACTTAAATTATTATGTTACTGAATCACAAATTATTATTTTTTTAACATAAAAACATTTTAATACTTGTTTCTTTAGAGGGAAGTTTCGTAATATTAATATTTATAATCTCGGCTTTTTATTGTAAAGACGCTTGATTAATTTTGTGCAGAAAAGTTGTTCGATTGATCGAATACATACACGGGGTGCACATATATTATATGTATATCACAGAGATATTATTCTTCTAAAAACGACGGTGTATAGATATATGAAAGGATTTTCAAAGTGAAATAGATTTTTGAAAGAGGGATAACTAGATCTATCGATAGTATACGCTATTTAGCAATAAGATGCGACGCATAAATCAACGACAGTATTAAATCACGGTAAGTTGTCCGTAAAAGAAAGAGATCTGAATAATTCAGCGTGAGTCTGGGAAGCAGGTTCTTGCTCATTTTTTGACAAACAATAAGGAAGTTGAAGAAAGTTGATATCGATGGTATTTGGTTGTTCTTTTAGATTTCGGTAGAGTTAAAAAGTCTGTTGATTATAAAGATCAAATTCTTGGAATAATACATGGAGATACATAGATAGAAAGAGAATTATTATAATTATTGCTGAAGTGTTGAATTGCTCTTGTGATGTTGAAATTTATAAAAGCGTAGTTATCTATCGTTTAACAAAATCTTCCCGAAACACGTTTTGACATTCCGAAAAATTTTGTCGATTGCACAAAAATTTAAAATGTTTTACTATACTTTTATTAATTTAGTCGTACGTGACGACCTGTTTACAAGGACCAACATATATATTTCTAGGATACGTAAAATATCTGAAATGCGTGATAAAAGATTTCTCGTTCCAGTGAGGCTTCTTATTTACATAAATATTTCTTACTATCCTTAATCTCCTATCAGCATTCACTATTATTTCTGTTATAGCGTTATTATAATGCTCTGTGATTTATAATTATTACGTATTAATTTTATTGTTCTTAGAAGACAGTTTAATGACAGAACTTTGTAAAAGTATGCTATATGCGATAAGTATGCATTCCTTATTATTCCATATTCTCGGCTCTTATGTATAGAAAGTATTAAACTTTAATTTCTTTTTATTAGAACTGAATAATTTAATGTTTATCTGATATGCTAATGTTCTGATATGAAGATAATGCGAGCGTAGAAATGTAAATTTAAGAGAATAAGTCCTTTTTCTCTAGAGAATCTATATCTCGCACATAAACGTCCTGTTGCGAGAATATACGAGGGTGAATAAAAAAGTAAAGATATATATCTTTTCTATTTTAGACTTTTGCATTTTAAATTTGACGGTTAATGTAGGAAAAAAACCAATACATTTATAATACATATAGAAATTATATTTTTCTCTATATAAAGTGTGAATTTTCTGTAATACACATGTTAAAGACCGGAATGAAAATCTGTTATTTTTAATAGTTAACTTTTTAATTAGCTTCGATTTTTCAATTTTTGTGAGGATTGCATTTTTTTAAATATATATTATAAATAATTAAAATTTCTCTTTTTTTTTAACTGATTTAATTTTTCAATTGATAGAGACAATTGCATTGTGACGAGTCAAAGGAGTGAAGAAATGGGAAAGACACCTCATGCCTTTACTTTACGATTCACCCTCGCATCTGTGTGCAGGTGATGTGCGTATTGTTGTCCGAGAAAAATGTCTCATTTATAGGATAAAACGTCATCGTCATGGGCAGTGCCTGTACTGATCGTTGACACGTGTTAAGAGCGACGCGCCGCGACCGCGTCGCGACTCTAGTCGATTTTATTTTTTTCAATGTGAAAGCTGTAGACTATATAATATTTTCTACATAGTTAAAAGAGAGAAAAAGGTGTCACGCTGAATGCACGAGCGTGGGGGATTCCACAGAGGGTTTCACTTTTATTATTAGTTTATACACATACACACACACATATACACATGTAATTCTCTATGAAATAAAGATGAAATTATCGTTGTACGAATCGAACTGAAATATCGCGAAAGAGCAACAATTCCGAAGCATCCGCTCTTCGTGATAAACGATGCTATATCAGTATTAAACGCATTTTAAAACTGTGAACGGATTCCCATCTTTCCTCCTCATCGCATCGCGAAAAGTGTACTGGATGCACGACATAGTGAATCAGTTTTCAATGCGGTTCTTCTTTCTTGATTTAATCGCGAGTATCTTTCTCGCGTCGTCTTTTATTCCCGTCAACTTTCAAAAGAAGAATGTTGAAAAATACGTAAATGAATTGTTATAGCGATGAAGAGGCGGTGGGCGTCGCGGGTCGCGCGTTTGCCACCGCGATGACGTTGGCCAGCAGCGATAGCATTGTCTCCATCGAGAAGCCGCAATGCGGATACGATCTCGAACAGTTTCGGTTAGCTTTGCCGGCTTCCACCGCTTCCTCGATCGCCGTGCCCTGCATAGCGGTGCGGAACACCTGATTGCTGGTGATGGCGTTCACCATCCTGTCAAAGGACGTCGCCTTATCGTCCCTATCGTTTTCGTTCCCATTCCCGTTCTCGTCGCCGACTACGGCGGCCGCTTGCTGCGAATAGGTGCACACCGCGCGTTGCATGCACGAGGTCGTGTCGATGCCGTGACGAGCGAGGACGTCATCGATCTTCGTCAGGGTCTGGGCGAAACCGGAGTCCTCACCTATGTCGGATCGGTCTAAATATAATCGATGTTGTCCGGATGGAATAGAGGATTTATAGGATGCTGGAAAGCTCTCCATGAGATTTAGAGTCAAGCTTTCCTTAGCGAAAATGTCGAAGAACAATATTGCATATTTTTCTTTTTAATTATATTTTTATTGTTAGCGACTCCGGATAAGAAATCTCAATTGAAAAATTAAAAAAATTATGAAACTTATCACAATGTTTTATATCTCGTCTCGTTTTGCGTATAATAAAATTAAAATAAAAAATAATCCTGTTTTTAAGGGTTGACTTTATTTTTTTGAAGTAAATTTAGCCAGCGCACAAAGATGTATTATTTAGCAAGAAATTTCCTATATATAAATAAGTTTCATAATTTTTAAATAATTATAAATTTTAAATATGCTTTATGTTCAACAGTTTATAACTCGACAATTTTTCTAATAAGGAATAAGAGGTCAAATTTTACAAAGTCTGTGGGAAATTCATGAAATTTAGAATTTATGAAATCAAGAATAAAACAAATAAAATAGACGATACAAAGGATTCAGCTTATATGGACGAACGATATACTTACTTCTCGCATACGCGCCATAAGTGCCCGATAGGATATAAAGCAACTTTGGGATGATAAGGATTGATCCCACGCCAATGATGGCTCCTAAGAGAAGTCCGCCAAGATCTATCTTCGCCGGTGCGTAAGGCGACACGCCGTAGCCCTAATTAAAGTTTAATCGAGTCAATAAATTTAAATGTACAACGACGAATTTTCGAATTTAATTAATTTTGACTGTCGCCAAAAATAATGATGCAAAATATCAGCAGTTTTTGAAATTTTTTTACAAAAATGGATATATATAATCAAGGAGGGTGAANNNAGAGATATCCATAAAAAAAAAGAATGGAAGAAAAGAATCACAATTCAATACTTACGCTTCCTGTACCTCCAATATTAGTGAAACCAAATCGCGCTTCCTGGCCGCGATCCGTAACATCGTTCATCTCAGATTCGCGTTTCGGTGGATTCTCTTCTCGTTGTTTAATCTGAGACGACGGCATGGCTATCTGATCCTGCATCTTCGCATGCTTTTCCACATAACTGATGGAACTTGGTACAAACCTGTTAATGAAGATATTATATTATATGAGAAATGGAAGTTATTTATAACACAAGTCTTTCAGAGATAAACATCTAAAAAGGATATATTAATCTTTCAGACATTTAAATAAAAACTTCTAAATTTTTTCAGATATTTTTTAGATGTTTTTTAGACATTTCTTTTTTTAATTTTTAGGGTGAAATTTATTTGATAAATATCGAATTATTCATATATTAGTTAAGAAATTGTTTAAGTGACTTACCCTCCATCGTCAAACTTTGGTTTGCAACCGACCAGAACAGCGAAACAACTTATTGCCACGGTTAAAGTTCGCGAAATTCGGAACGTCATCTGAAAAAGAAAAAATAGATGATAGTAATCCAATGATTTACTATAAATAAATGCAAATAATACTAGCATGTTTAATGAACTTCTTTTAAATCTTTATACGACAAAAAAGATTACGATTTGTTGACAAACTTTACATTTTTATCCTATCAAAATTAAGTCACGTCAATATTTCTCATTCTGAATATAATATAAATTACTTCTGAAATTTCACATGTATATATATGGGAATTTTAAAACATTTCACGTTATTGTCATCAAAAGAATTATTTTATCAAAGACATCCACTGGATATCGCGCGAGTACAAGGGCAACGTTGAATTAAGTCGAATAAGAATACCTTCGGCAGCGGCAAAGGTGAGGCTCTTCGATGTAAAGTATGATGATCAGAGGTCAATCTTAGAAAACAAGATATGGCGATTCAGTGTCATGGACTGGCTGCGTGGAGACTGCTTTCGGGCATATATAGTTGCTTTGGTCGTCTGAACACGACAAGTCGTGGACATAATTGGAGCCGCGGTTTCGCTTTCATTGTTAGGTATTCATGGAGGTTGACACGCGATGCGTGACACTCATCGTCGTCATTCGAAGACGAAGAAGGCCGTCTCCTCATCTGGCGGCTGCAGCCGCTTCGTCACGTCGCCGGTCACTCCGCTCGAAATCCCGAAGCTGAAATAATAGCCGTGCCGTCAACAATTGTCCTTTTAAGACGTTCACTGACTTTTGACTGATTTCAAGACATCTCCGGCACCTCGACACCATCATTCTCTGGGCGTTGCGATTTCCCGTTGCGTTACGAAACACGCGCAACCTCGGGGGTGGTTACGGGCAGTATCTGCTTAATTATTTATGTGGTTTTGAAATTTTTGAATGACGCATATAATGATTTGCACATGATGATTAAATTAAATATATATATATATA